TAATACAATACTAAGCTCTCTTATCACTGGGGCTTGCTTTAATGCCACGTCGTCTGGTTAGTCCTTCTCACCATTCTCTGATGCTGAAATCTCAGAAAGTCACTGAGTAGAATTCCATTCCCCTCATTCTCCTCCACTCTAGCTTTTTAACACACTTGACTCTTTGCTGGGGGGAAAACCCATCCCTTGGTTTCTACAATACTGCAGTATCCTGATTCTACTATTTCTCTGACCACTCTCTCCCTGCCTCCTTTTGTCTTCTCGTCTTGTTCACCACATGCTGCCTTTTCCAAGGCTGCATTCTCAGCTGGCTTATGTTATTTACCTGCCTTTGTCTAGCTCATCAATTCTCAAGATATCAACAATGACCTTCCAACCTACAGCTCTGGACTGAACCTCTGTGCTGAGCTCTGGTCTGACTTTCCACCTTTACATAAATATCCCTCATGCTAAAACTGAAAATAATAATGTCATTTCTCTAAACCAGTTTTTTTTTTCCTAAGTGCCTAACGTCTAATAACACTACTGTTATTATTTCTTCCAAATAATTTGTCTCTTCTACCTTTCTTGTCTCTCATGTCCAAAGAGGTGCTAACCCCTATAATCTGAGAACTCAAGACCATATATGCTGTGTTCAGGCCAATCTCTCCAGCCTTACTTTACATTCCTCCCTTAAAGAAAATCTATATTCCAAGGAAACTGAACTCTTAAAATTACCTCTGAACGGCAGACCCATTCTGACATTCGAAGGTGTCACAACATTGTCTCTGTTGCCTAAATATCCTTTTATGACTGCCATTTTTTGTCAAATACTAGCCCATCCTTCCAGTCTCAGCATAAACGCTATCACCTTACAAGGCCCTCCCAGAGTCCTTCACTCTACCCAGTCAGACAGCCTCTCTGTCTCTTCTTAGGCTCCTTGAAGTCCTTCTGTTTCTCTCCCTACTCAATTGCAAGTTCCTCGAGAACAAGTGTTCCTACCTTCGGATTCCAAATAGTATCACACCTGGAGCCTGGTACAAATAGATGCTCCATGAATAAATAAATAAATGTCTATTATTAGAACTTGGAAAAAATCTAATATCATGATTTAAAATAAAAAATCTGATTTTAAATACATATTCATCTAACCTTGGAGCACCTAAATATGTAAAGCAAATATTAATAGATCTAAAGGGTGAGATAGACTGCAATATAACAATACCTCACTTTCAACAGAAGGCAGATTATCCAGGTGAAAAATCAATAGGGAAACAGAGGAACTTGAACACTTTAGATCAAATGTACCTAACAGACATGGACAGAGCATTTCATCCAACAGCAGCAGAAACACATTTTTATGAAGTGCACATGAAACATTCTCCAGGAAAGATCATATGTTAGGCCACAAAACAAGTCTTAAGAAATTTGAGAAGATCAAAATCACATCAAGTATCTTTTCTGACCATAATGGAATAAAATTAGAAATTAATGAGAGAAATTTTGGAGAATCACAGATATATGGAAATTAAACAACACACTCCTGAACAACCAATGGGTCAAGGAAGAAACTGAAACAGAAATTAGAAAATATCTTGAGACAAATGGAAACAGAAATGGAACATACCAAAACTTATGAGATGCTGTAAAAGCAGCTCTAAGGGGGAATTTTATAGCAATAAATACCTATATCAAAATGAAGATCTCAAATAAATAACTTAACATTATCTGTCAAGGAACTAGAAAAACAAACTAAACCCAAAATCAATAGAAAGAGGTAAATAATAAAGATCAGAACAGAAATACATAGAGTCTAGAAAGACAATAGAAAAAAAAAATCAATGAAACTAAGAACTGGTTCTTTGAAAAGATAAAACAAAATTGACAAACCTTTAGCCAGATCAAAAAAAGAGAGAGATGACTCAAATAAAATTAGAAACAAGAGGAGATATTACAACTCATATTACAGAAATATGGAGGAGGAATACTTCCAAATGCATTTTATGCAGCCAGCACTACTCTGATACCAAAGCCAGACTATACTATGAGAAAAGAAAATTATGGGCCAATATCCCTGATGAACACAAATGCAAAAATCCTCAACAAAATACTAGCAAAGTGAATTCAACAGCACACTGAAAGGATCATTCACCATGATCCAATGGGATTTATCCCTAGGATGCAACGATGGTTCAACATACACAAATCAATAAATGTGATACACCATATTAACAGAATAAAAGACAAAAACCATATGATCATCTGAATACATACAGGAAAAGCATTTGACACAATTTAACATCATTTTATGATAAAAACTCTCAATAAATTAGGCATAGAAAGAATGTACTTCAACACAATAAAGGCCATATAAGAAAAGCCCATAGCTAACATCATAGTCAACAATGAAAAGTTGAAAGATTTTCCTCTAAGATTAGGAACAAGACAAGGATGCCCACTCTTACCACTTCTACTCAACACAGTACTAGCCAGAGCAATTAGACAAGAAAAAGAAATAAATGGCATCCAAATAGAAAACGGAAAAAGTGAAATTGTCTCTGTTTACTGATGATATGATCTTATATACTGAAAACCCTAAAGACTCCACCCAAAAACTATTAGAACCAATAAACAAATTCAGTAAGGTTGCAAGGGACAAAATCAACACACAAAAATCAGTAGTGTTCTTTTACACTAGTGATTAACTGTCTGAAAAGGAAATTAATAAATCAATCCCATTCCCAATAGCATTAGAAAATACAGTTCAATAGAAGAAATAAGATCTAGCATTAGATCAGTAGGGTGACTATAGTTTACGATAATTTATTGTATGTTCCAAAATAGCTAGAAGAGAATAATTCAAATAATTCTAGCATAAAGAAAAGACAAATATTTAAGGTGGTAGTATCTTAAGTACATTGATCTGATCTTTAAAAATATGAATGTATTAAATTGTCACATGTATCCCAAAACTATGTACATTTATCATGCATCAATTTAAAAAATATTTTTTAAAAACTTAGGAGCAAATTCAACCAAGGAAGTGAATGTTCTGTATACTGAAAACTATACAACATTGATGAAAGGAATTACAGATGACACAAATGGCAAGGTACCCATGTTCACAGATTGGAATTACTAATATTGTTAAAATGTCGATACTACCTGTTATGATTTGAATGTGTCCCCCAAGGTTCAGGTGTTGGAAACTTAATCCCTAATGCAACAGTGTCTGAGGTGGGACCTTTTAGAGGTGGTTAGGTCATTTGGCCTTTGTCCTTATTAATGGATTAATGTTGTTATTTCAAAAGGTAGGCATGTTATCACTATAGATTTGTTGCAAAAGCAAGTTCAACCCTCTCTTGCTCTCTCTTGCCATGTGATGGCTTCCACCATGTTATGACACCACAAAAGCCCTCCCCAGATATGGCCCCTCAATCTCGGACTTCCCAGACTCCAGAACTCTGAGCCAAATAAATTCTTGCTCATTATACATTACCCCATCTGCTACATTATGTTATAGTAGCACAAAATGAACTAAGACACTACCCAAAGTGATCTATATATTCAATGTAATCCCTATTCAAAATTCTATTTTCCACAAAAACAAAAAAAAAAATCCTAATTTGTATGTAATCACAAAAGAAGTCAAATAGCCAAATGAATCCTAAGCAAAAAAATGAAGCTGACTTCAAAATTTATTACAAAGTTATAGAAATCAACACAGCATGATACTGACACAAAAACAGACACATTAACCAATGGAACAAGATAGAGATCCCAGAATTAAAGTCTTGCAGTTATGGTCAGTTGACTTTCAAAAAAGGTGCCAAGAACACATGATGGAGAAGTGACAGTCTCTTCAATAAATGGTGCTTTCAAGACTGGAGATCCACAAAGAGAAAAATGAAATTGGACCCTTATCTCAAACCATATACAAAAATCAACTCAAAATGGATTAAAGAGTTAAATGTAAGACTTGAAACTACAAAACTATTAGAAGAAAATAGGGAAAAAGCATCATGACATTGGTCTGGGCAAAGATTTTTTGGATATGACCCCAAAAACATGACAACAAAAGCAAAAATAAACAAATGGGATTGCATCAAACTAAAAAGTTCCATACAGCAAAGGAAACAATAGATTGAGGAGACAAGGCATAGAATAGTAGAATATATTTACAAACCATATTTTAATAAGGGGCTAATATCCAAAATATATAAGAAACTCAAACAACTCAATAGCAAGAAAACAACCCAATCAAAAAATGGGCAAAAGACCCAAATAGATACTTCTCAAGGAAGACATACAAATGGCCAGCAGGTGTTTGGGAAAAATGCTCATCGTTACTGATCATCAGGGAAATGCAAATTTAACCCACAGTGCAATATCACCTCACACTGGTTAGAATGGCAATTATCAAAAAGACAAAAGATAACAAGTGTTGGCGAGGGTGTGGAGAAAAGGGAACCTTGTATGCTGTTGGTGGGAATGTAAATTAATATAGCCATTATGAAAAACAGTATGGAAGTTTTTCAGAAAACTAAAAATAGACCTACCCATACGATCCAGCAATCCCACTTCTAAGTATATATCAAAATGATATGAAATTAGTTTGCTGAAGAGATATCTGCACTCCCAGGTTAACTGCAGCATTATTCACAGTAGCTAAGATATGGAAGCAACCTAGGTGTCCACCATCAGATGAATGGACAAAGAAAATGTGGTATATACATAATGGAACACTATTCCTTTTAAAAGGGGGGAAATCTTGTCATTTGTGACAACATGCATGAACCTGGAGGGTGTTATGCTAAGTGAAATAAGCCAGGCATAGGAAAACAAATACCACATAATGTCACGTATATGTGGAGTCCAAAAAAGTTGAACTCACAGAAGCAGAGAGTAAAATGATGATTACTGGAGACTGTGGATTGGGGGATGTGGTAGGTGGGGAAAGAGGAGATGCTGATCAAAAGGTACAAAGCTGCAGTTAGGAGGAGTAAGCATTAGTGATCTACTGCACAGAATGGTGACCATAATAAATCATAATAATGCATTGTATTTTTTAAAATTGCTAAAAGAGTAGATTTCAAATGTTTTCACTGCAAAAAATGATAAGTATATGAGGTGACAGATTTGTTAATTAGCCTGATTTAATCATTCCACATTGTAAACATGTTATCAAAATGTCATATTGTACCCTATAAATATGTATATTTGTCAATTTAAAAAAATAAAATTAAAAATCTGTAATAAAAATATCCATCTTACTTGGTTGTGTTCTAGAGTCTCAAAAAGTTGTTCATCAGACTTCAGTAATGGAATGCCTGTTCGATAGTGAACTTCATAAGAAAACTCCATGGTTGCCCAGGTCTGACTGATTTCAATAATAACCTAGTAATCAACAGTATAAATTAAGTTATATGCACAAATGTTTAATTTAGGATCAACACCTGGGCTATTATATAAAATTTAAAAAATGCTTACAATTTCCAAAGAAGCAGACAGATATCAACTATTATTTGCCTCATTTCTTTTTTCCTCCAAATAACACATGGTGATGAGGTTTGGGGAATGAATTTTACCACACTAATATCAAACTTCTATTGAATCTGAATTTTACATCCTTCACCAAAACAGAAATCCAGAGTAGGATGGAACAATTATCTAAAGGTTTGGTAAGTATTTATTTACAAATTAGCTAGCATGAGAGAGTAGTACCCTGAATGTGAACTTCAGTCCCCCGTGTGAATCTAAGTTTATTGCCTCTCTATACCTCAGTTTCCCCATCTGTAAAATAGGGATACTAATATTACTTAGGTCAGAGGGTTGAGTTAATATAAATAAAGCACTTAGAATGGTGCTTGCTATAAAGTGAAGGATATGTAACGTTTTCTGCTGTCATCATCATCATCAACAGGGCCAACCCTCCTGTTTTACATATTTACTGTGACTTATAAATAGAGTGATTCTGTTTGTTGCCCAACTCACATACCCAACAATCAGCAAAGAACAAACGAGGACTTGTGAATCCAAAGCCCCAGGACATCGAGAGGCCCACTCCAAGTCAGCTTCTACACTAACACCCAGAATTAGCCTAGTGGAAAGACACAGTCCGAGGACACTACCTTCTCAGTCCCCAATTCCTTCACAGCTTTGTCCACAATCTTTCGGACATCATCTTCCACTCTGTGCAATTGCAGTGCTAACAAATCTGCCAAAGTCGTGGCTTCATTTATTGAAAACTTGACCTGCTTAGGGGAAAAAGAAAAGGTAGACTTTATATTCCACATATGTTCATGGTTCCTTTTGCCTAATGGCTAGAGAATCGAATCATAACGAAAATATACTTGAGCTAGGTGCCAAGTACATCTCTAGTTCTGAAAGGTGCGGACAGTCCAAGACATTCCTTTTTAACTCACAATTACTGAGGCATCACCCACTGGAAGCGCCAAGGTTTAGCCATATTCACGCTACATTTCTTTCTTTTGTTTCATATCTTTCCCTTGTCAGCACATTTCTTATCTCCTTTGCCCACAAAACCCATTTTTAAAGAGAATTTCATTGTTCATTTACTATAATTTGGTTGAAATCCCAGGAATCACGTAGTGGCTCATTTGTCTTTTCTTCCTTAAGAACCCTATTCACTGAACATAATTCCCAGTTGCTTCCGTGATTTAACCTAGTTTTATCACTAATTTAATCTTAGTTCCTTAGCAAAAAATACTCTTACTCACACTGTCATTATTCATATTTACCATGTGACAAGTAATTCACATATATTTCCTCCTCATCTTATTGACTCATCCCACCCCACTCCAGTATTTGGTTCTTAGGAAGCTCTGAGCTCTTCCTCAGTGCCCAAACTCATTCATGTCTCTTATAAACGAAGAGCTGACCTGGCCACACAGTTGCAGGAAAGCCATTTTCTTTCCTGCTTTTGCTAAGGATATCCAGTCTCTGCTTCTTGGACGCTGCATCCCCCTCTGGCTCTCCCTACCCTGTAACGTTCCTCAGCACCATCCACTCCTCTGCATAGATGGACCAAACATCCCGGTTTGCCCGGGACAGAGGGGTTTCTAGGATATAAGACTTTCAGTGCTAAAACCTGAACATGGAAAGTCCTGGGAAAACCAGATGAGTTGGTCAGCCTATCTTTGCATCAATTTTGACCTCATTCAGTAGGGCTGTGCAATAGGGCTGTTCTTATACAATTTGAGTACTGAACTTGGATGCCAGCCCAGGTGACAAATGGAGACTGAATCCAGCCTCTGCTCTACTGTCCTGGGGACAGCCTAGAGGACAGTGCCTCTTTCCACATTGTCTGCCAGAGAAGATGACTCTTCCATGTTGCAGAAAGGCATAATAACAGGGAAGCCAAGACTGTGGTGTGGCAAAATTTCATTGGTAGAAATATGAGGAGGGGGTGGGGAGCCAGGTGTACAGACCACTCACTACCTATTAAAAGATTCAATGAAGATTTTCTGAATGATCAATTACAAAGTCGCAACATACAACGTTTAGAAAACCCTATGAAAAATATTATTTTGACAGCTTCAGGAAGCTTTTATTGAACACTTACTACATACTTGGTCCTTTATATATACAGTCATATGTCACGTGATGATGGAGATACATTCTGAGAAATACATTGTTAGGGGATTTTGTCATTTTGCAAACATCATAGAATGTACTTATATAAACTTAAATGGCATAGCCTACCTCACTCCTAAACTATATGGTATAGCCTATTGCTCCTAGGCTACAAATGTGTACAGCATGTTACTGGACTGAACACCATAGGCAACTGTAACACAATGGTAAGTATTTGTGTATCTAAACACTAAAACATAAAAATGGTACAGTAAAACTGGTATTAATATTATAATCTTATGGGACCACTGGCATGGTCCACAATATGCAGCCAGTAGACCAAAATCTCATTATGTTGCATATGACTCTGTATGTGTGTGTGTTTGTGTAATCTCCAATTTGTTCACCAAGTCTGCATGGGAAGCATTATTTTTATTTCACAGAAGATAACTTGCCCAAGAACCCAGAGTTACTTTATGGTTTCAGTCAGGACTGCAACCATAAACCCCAGGCTGTTCCCACTTCTCTAAGCTGCCCTTGCCCCTGTCTCCCTTCCCTGCAAACTCTCCTTCACATCTGCGAGCCTCTCTCCACAGTGTGTCCCTCAAGCTCTTGATTTGCCTAAGGAGAAAACACACACACACACACACACACACACGGCTTCCTTTCACATATTTTAAACTCATAAAGATCACTTTCCTTGAAAAATAAAGTGTAAGGCTGATGTATTTGCTTTGCAATAGGTATAGAAAGGCAAGAAAATAGAACCTCAGGTGGTATGGACACATGAGAAACCATTTTATATCTTGCAATAAAATTGAAACCATCAAAAGACCATCAAAAAAGACACCATTAAGAAAGAAATTATGGGGGAAAAAGTCACAATTCCAGAATTCTACTCCCCCCAAATTCCCTTTTATACCTTCTGATCCTCTCCACAAGTTTCTTTGCAGACATTTGGTGCTGTATAAAATGCTTTCATATTATCTCACACGCTCCTTACGAGATCCCCCTCATTATATTAATAAAAAGCAAAACTGAAACGAGAGAGGTTCAGTGACTTGCTTGAGGTCACACAGGCAGTAAGAGATGAAAGGGGAGCGAGAACTAGGACCTGCAGGTGTCCAGTCCACTGGTTTTATCTCAAAGAGCTTGATCTCTTCGCAAATTCCACCCCATCCCAGATGATTAGAACCGAGGAATGCCACTGCACAGTCACAGAAATATTCAGTTAGAGAGACCCATAATACTGACCCCAATGGTCTTCATCAGCTGGCGCCAGTGCCTATCCCTGAGGGCAGGGTTCTGTAACTCTGCGACGGCTCTCAGGGAGGTTGTCATGTCCTTCACTGTGCCTGCCAGGCCTGCGTACGCACCCCAGACTCGGACTTCCTTGTCTAGGGACCAGATTTCCTAAAGAAAAGTGGGAAAAACCCCAGTTCCCTAGATATAATAATATATTATATAATTTGTCTCCTTTGGAAGAAATACACATTTCCCCACTCCTGAATTAAGAAAGAGAGTGAAAGTATTTAAACCCCCAGGCTAAGGACAAAAACCAGAGAAATGGAAGGGATCCATTTGTTTGTATATTATGAGTCCACTGTGTACAAGCCACTTGGATATGTTGGTTTGTTATTCGCAAGATCTAAATGGATGTCCCATGAGGAAACCAACAGGATATTAAATGTAGGTAAGTAACAGAGTTCACAAGACACATGCAATGAAGAACACTTTCTCTAGAAACGTAAATGAGAGAAAACAGATTGTTACTAAAACCCCTTTTGAATATCTGACTCATTTACATGGTAGTCTTGAAACGCTGTCTGCCTTCGAGTGTCTGTTCCTTGGAACTCAAATATTTCATGATTTTAAGTTGTCAAATAGGGTCCTTGACTTGGCTGCCCTCTTGGCCCATGGAACAACATCAGCAATTGTGAATGAGAAAAATCCACAATAAAACAACTACATCTTAGCACAAAGTAAAGGACACTGCCAATTGTTTAAGAAAAAATAAAAACAGAACTTCAGTTGAGAGTGGAGGTTAAGTTGTCACTCTGAAATGAGATAACCAAACAGCAGAGGAGATAAGTAGGCAGTGAGCGTAGAACGAGATTCAGTGACCCCATGACATCCAAAAGAATGAAGAGACGTTTTAGGTAGGGTCTTTGGCACTGGAATAACATGGCAGAAAATACTTGGAAGAGTTGGTAGGAGTTGAGCATGGGACTGAGTCAGGGACAAGGATTTTCTGGGGCGGGAAGAAAGCCGAAGGCCCTGCCACTGTTTAACTGCCTCTCGCTGCTATGCATTTTAGCTTTATCCAAAGAAGTTCTACTCTCCTCAGAGGAAATATGGATATGGGGACTAGATATCAAAGTACTAAAGTCAAACAAGCTCAGTTCTGTATATATTGAGCCCGCTTGGGATACTGGAATAATTGAACAAAGATAATATTCCACAGAAACCCAGAAGTTGCATATCTTCTTAGTTGCCCAAAATTCCAGAACCAAAAGCTACCTTTTCAGATATGAGATGCTTATGGTGGCTACGGAAAGAAATAAAAAACTTTTATAAGCCCTGATAATCTTTCTTTCCATCCTAGACAGCCATAGGAAGCTCATGATTATAGTTTCTTCTCACAAATTCATTAGCCCTAATATGCTTTTATCAACTCGTTCACAGAAAGGCAGGCTTGATTAGAAGTGCAACTGGCTAAGAGTAAAAAAAAAATACCGTCTGATACCATTCTGTTAGAAGTAAATAAAGACATGCAGTCCCACGCAGCAGACACTAGGTTAGGGAAGATGGAAGGAGGTGGTGCTGAGAGAGATAAATTGCTGTAACAGACAGTTATGGAACTCGCCTTGGCAAACCTTCTGAGTTCTGCATCCATCTGTTCCACATTAATCTGTCTCCACTGGGTTTTAGTCCAATTATCAGTGCTTCTCTGCAAACGCACAAGCAGATAAAAGTGTCAACAACATTTGGTGAAAGCAAGCCTCTGCAGCAAAATATATAAACTGATGATACACAGTGACTCTATCATCCCGTGGAAAATCAATTTTTTAAATATTAACTGCACTTGTCAAAACTTCCCTATTACCAAAACAAAAAAGTTGTCAGAACATGTCAAGCTTAAGGCTAAAACACTGCGATACATTAATTTCTAGTAGCAATGATAAATTCCATACACACACCATCATTATCACTTAATCCTGTGTACTTTGGATAAACTGATAAGTATATTACTATTAAGAAACAGATTTTTATAATTCTACACATAACATAAAATGAGCTTTCGCAAGACGACCTTCATCTGGTGTAAACAAAACTCTCATTAACCATTTCTTGACCATATTTTATATCTTGTTAATATATTTCTACATGGCTTCCAACCAACTTAAGAAAATTACATATAATACATGTTGCAATATGCATAGTTCCTAGAACTTATTTTTCTACTTTTTAACTTAATTAACCACACACAAATTAACTTTATTTTCAGTGAGGATATACATGCACACACATGTAAGTATAAATATGGGTGTTTACATGAGTTGGTATGTATAGGTGACCCTATATATGTGATATATATTTATACATTAATTTTTATTCATATCATACAATCCCTCAAAAAAATTTGAAGCAGTTAGCTCATTACACAAAGTTTCATCCTGAACTAAAAACAAAAACAACTGATATTCAGGGAAGAATCTTTCACTAACATATATATAAACTCTAATTCTGGGAGAAGGGAGGGAATATAATGTCCACATATTTCAAGACATTATAAAACACAAATGACTTAGACTCTGAAAATTACCTATTTATACCAAAGAACTACTAAAAGAAAAAAAAAGCATGCTTCCACAAAGCACATCTTACTCTAACATAAATAATGACATCCCAGAGTCCCTTGAGCAATTTTATTTCTTTGCGACACTGCCTCATTTGTTTGTATTCTGGAAGAGCCACTTCAAAAAGATGAGTAGATTCTTGCATTTGCAACATTTCTTCTTCTAATGCCTCAAGCTCTTGATTTGCCTATGGAGAAAACATACACACCTGCATACAAACTGTCAGAGAAACAGAAGCCACACAATTCTGTAGCTCTGCTTATTTCAACATTGCAAACTTTGATTTTAAAAAGAAAATAAAAAGAAATCTGCAATATAATTATGGGAAAATGTAGAAGGCTTTAGATGAGTAAACTCACACTACACAAAAAGTGAGAATAGACTATTAATAAATACCATAATGGTACCAATACTCTCCTATGCACATATTATTTCCATGAATACAATTTTTCCTCTTGATTTTCATTGTACAATTGGAGACACTGAGAAGCGAAAGGTAAGGCTCTAGAAAGGTGAGGCTCTAGATATTAACTTCCACTTAAGAATAAATTACCCCTTTGATAATCACTTGGTTTAAGAAAAAACTTTATTAAAAAATACCCTAGAGATTATCAAAAGTATCAAATATACTCAAGAGAATTCATGAAATAAAATGCTGGAGCTAATAACAATAGCTGGTATGAAAATTTCACATGGTTATCTTTACCAAGGCCCCCCTGCCATCCCTTCTATGTAGAACAGTTTCCATTTTATGCCAAATATAAGCCGACTCATTTTCTTTTTTATTAACAAAGTTGTACTTTATATACATGGTAAAAGTTCAAGTCATCCAGAAAAGGTCGGAAGGCAGGAAAGCCACCCCCAGGTTCGCTTTCCAGTTCTTCTGGGTGCTGTAACTCTCAATTCTGTGCTCAAGCTGCTCTTCCTTGATCAAGTGCAGACACTACGCTAAGTCACTGGCTTTGCAAAAGAAGGATTTGATTTTGTTTCTCCACTTTCTATCTTCTCCCATCCTCCTCCCCAAATCCAATAATTATATTATTTTAGTTCCTTTGATTTTCTTTTAAATTTTGAATCCTCAATCCTTTTGCGTTCCATCAATCTTCAACTTTCTAAAACTGACAAGTAAAAATTGCATATATTTATTGTATACAATACGATGTTTTGAAATATTTCTACATGGTGGAATGGCTCAATTGAGTTAATTAAAATGCACTACCTCACACATACTTCATTACCTCATTTTTTGTGTGTGCAGTAAGAACACTTAAAATCTATGCAGTAATTTTCAAAATAAAATACATTGTACAATATATTAACTATAGTCACCACATTATACAATAGATCTTTGAACTTATTCCTCCTAAGTGAAATTTTATATCCTCTGACCAACATCTCCCTGACCCCAACTCTCTTAATTTCCAACTGTGTAATTAATATTAGCACCCTGCTTTCATTCTTACAAGTTACTATCTTTATAAATAAGAACTACAATTCTTTGACTTACTTTTACAAATTTTATTATGAACATTTTTATACACATGAAAGGATATTTATGTGTGTGTGCCCATCCAGCCTAGGAAATATTATTAATAACTTTTAATACCTTTCTCAATTGTATCCCTCTCCTTTCTACTACCAATTTAACCACCAAACCTAAATTTTTATTTAATAGTCTCCTGAATTTTATATGTTCACTATATGTGTATGTATTGCTAAGTGATAAAATTTTAAAATTTGTTTTAAAATGTATAGTTTTATACTAAATGTATATGTAAAGATCTTTCAGTTAATATTTTTGAAGTATACTCATATATTCATGAAGACGTGTGTGAAGTTCACGCATTTCCACTGCCATATAGTACTACCTTGTATGAATATACTACAATTTATTTATTCTACTTCTGATGGTCATTTAGGCTTTTCCTAAATTTTCATGTTTCCTAGTGTATAACATTTTATGTAGAGTTTTGTTATCCTTTAATGGATTAAGAATATCTTTTAAGAGTTCCTATCATGAATGAAGGTTGAATCATATCTAAAGATTTTCTGGCATTTCTTGAGATGATCATATGATTTTCTCTTCTTAATCTGTTAATGTGATAAACTAACTGATTTTTCTAATGTTAAGTCAAACTTGTTTTCCTGGAATGAATTCAACTTATTAATAAACTGGTATAATTTGATTGTTTTGTTTAGTACATTTGCATCTACATGTACTTGAGAAAGACTAACCTATAGTTTTTTCTTTCTCATACTGTCCTTTTGTAAAAATTAGACATGCTTCATAGAATAATTTTTTAATGTTTATTCTTCTTCTGGTTCCTGCAATCATATGAACAAGATCTGTTTCTTGAAACGTTCTTGGAATTCACCAAGCCTTCTGGGCCTATTAGTCTCTCTGTTGGAAGATTTTTTTTTTTAACTACTGGTTAATTTTTTTCTTTTTATTTTTCTACTAGTTAATTTGTAATAGTTATATTATTATT